TGTTGTTACTATTCTTCTCTTCGATCTCCTGTTGAGTTCATAGGTGTTCAGAATGGTTTGATCACTATTCAGCTGAATTCCTGAGACCAGACGAAATCCAGGTCTCCTACTCCTCCGCCATCTTCCTCCGCCCCCTGCCTGGTATTTTCTAATGACTAGACCCATGTTACCCATTGGTTGAATTGTCACTGAAATGTTGAATTTTCTCACTGAATCCACTCAGGCAGACATGATGTGGCTTAGAGGTGGCCCATGATGTTGATTAAACCATTACTGATAGGGTTAACTTTGATTACTTAAGAGGGTGTCTACCACGTTATTCTATTTTTTTCACCCTTTATTTTGTAGGGAGATACTTTGAGACCATATGATTCTTCATCCATTTTCATCCACTAGTTTTTTAGTATCCACTGATACTTGCCCAAAGTCATCATTACTGTGATAACCAAATGGTAATTTCTCAGTTCTATTATTTCCTTCTACATTTATTGATATCATTCTGTAAGGAAAAACATGTTCGTTTCCCCATTTATCCATTTATATTAGTATAGACTCCTGGATTCCTATTTTGCTCAATGTTGTACAATTATTTCAATTCTTACATTCTCCCAGAATCTGCCAGTGGAAGTCCCTTTGTTTTTAAGCCATGTCCTTTTGATGTGGTCCCATTATTCTTTATCATTTCTTTCTCACACAAGAAATGTTCCGGGCTCATCATGTAATTTCCCCGAACCACTCCTGGAATCAGCTATTTCTCTAAGAACTCTGGTTCCTTTTAGTGAAGAATGGTGTTTAGAAACGAAAATGTAGGAACTAGCTATGTCTATTTCTACTGTCTTTTTGCTGCTACTGTGCCATCTCTAGTGGACAGAGCTAAGAAACGTGGGTTTGTATACTTCCATATGTGCACTTCTGTATATTTACTTTTATCTATTAATACTAGAAACTATGCATAAATTCATGTTGGTAACAATGCAACACCACAGTATTTATTCCAATTTCCCCTGTCTGTAGACTAAGCTCTTCTTCTGCTCAAAGGAGCCTCATGCAACAAAAATCCTGCCTAATACATATTCCTTAGAGTAAATCCTATTCATAAATCATTTAACACTTACATTACAAATATAATGCAATCATTAGTATCATCCTTTGAAATTTATAATTTTTACTAGATTTTCTCTTGCAATTTCCCCATTAGTGTTTTTGATAGAACTTAATTGGGCTCTATATGTTTACTCAGAAATTCCCTCTGAAATTTACATTTTTAAAGTACACTTTCCAAGTCTTTTCTTTTCCCTTCCCACAGGCACTTTTGAACAGATACTGAGTCATTCACATATAGTCCATTTCTGTCAAATATCTTTAAATGTTGTAATATTCCTACTGATTTTGAAAAAGCAAACATCATCATGATTCATTATTCCTTCTAAGTAACTGATTTTGTTTGGAAACTTCTGATCTTAAAGTTCAAAATTCTTACTAGGATATTCATGTGTGATCTTTTTAATTAATCCTAACCAGTACACAGGGCTTCCATAACTTTTTTTTTAATCTGAGAGAAATTGGAATGAAATAATAAGCAAATACTGAACATACACTTATCATATGATCCAATGCCACTACTCATAGGTATTTACACAAGATAAATGAAAATCTGTGTCCACAAAAAGACTTCTATGGAATGTTCATAAGAGGCTTATTCATAACAGAAGTTGAAAATAAGTCAAATGACCTTCAACGGGTGAATGGATAAACAGGCTGTGGCACAGCCATACAATGGACTATTACTCAGCAATAAAAAGTAACAAACTATTGATGCATGCAATAACATGGATGAATCTCAAAAGCATTTATATAGACATAAAAGATTATATAACCCATGATTCCATTTACATGACCTTTTAGAAAAGGTAAAACTGTAGGGGCAGAAACAGATCAGTGGCTGCCAGTGGCTGAGCATGATGGTAGTTACACAATGGCATATATTTGTAAAAACTCAAAACAGTACACTTTTAAAATGGTGAATTTGATTTTACATAAAATTATACCTCACTAACTCTTACTTCAACAAAGCCTGTCTTTTTCCCATTGCACATTCTTTCCACCTTTGCTGAAGATTAATTGTATAATTATGGGTGAAAGGACTTACTCTATAATAAAAAGCATTAAAAAGCCATACTAATTAAAACATTACCTTTGGCATGAGCATAAACAAAGAATTTAGTGAAACAGAAATCAGAAACTGATCATGGTACACAGAATGTTAACATTTGTTGGCTTAATAATGAAACCAGAAAAACATGACAGTGTGCACCTATGGAATATATAGAACAAGGGAGTCAAGCACTGATTGACCTTGTGCAACATCAAGATTCTCTCAAATGTTTCTACATGTTAACTATTTTTCTTCATGCAGACACCTTCTCATGGCTGCTAGAAGTCCCAGGTCACCAACCACAAAACATGATGTTTTCCTTTTACAAAAATCCCACGTAGCGCTCTTATTGGCCCATTTGGATCAAATGTCCTTCCCAGGAATAAATGTGAAGCCAAGAGGATGTGGAATCTTCAGGAGATCTACCAGCTCCTATTTCATGAAGGCAAGCTGGCTACTAAAGAAAATACAGGGATGAAGTCCTGAGCTATAAAAATACTCCCTCCAAATGGTAATTTAGCACCTGATAAAGATGGTACTTCAAACTTCAATCACACGGTGTTGAGAACTGATTATTCATTTGGGAAAACATTAGATCCTTATCTCATACCTTATCTAATCAAGCAGTAACACAGAGACAGATCAATGGACAATTACATTTAACTTAATGTTTATTTCACATATTTTAAATGTAAGGCATACATGAGGTAATGATTTTCTAAGTGCTTTTCTTGTACAGATGCAACGAAAGCTCAATGAATTAGACACTTGTTTCATATGCTAAAGTAACAAATAGCTTTATTTCTAATGGTTGGGCTCACTATATGGAGATTTACAGGGCTGAAAAACAGCCACCCCTGAATCAGTTTCTCATGAGAAAATGTCCTCTCCGCAGGCTTATAAATGTATTTCTGAATTAATACCTCTTCAAAAAGGTCTATCTGTAAGTTGTTTAAACCACTTTCAGCTCTAAGAAACAGAAAATCCCAACTAGTATAATTAGAAAAAAATACTATCTCATATAAAGAAGCTCCAGGGTTGGTTGATTCACCTGCTCAAAAGACGCTGTTGACTCAACCTCTTTCCAGGTTTGTGTTCTGCCATCCTCAGATACTACCTTAGGATCAAAAACTACAATCAGATATCACAACCAGACATAGAAATATCCAGCAAAATCAAAGGGCTTTTTTTTTTTTTAAATCAAATGTTTGTTAACCACTGGGAAATTCCATTTTCCCATATTTCACTGAATATTCTTCAGAGTTTTTCACTGGCCAGAGCTGGGTCAGATGCTTATTTCAAATAAATCATTAATCAGGATACATTTTTCAAAATTAGGTTAGAGCATGAGGAGCTAATGTATAATATGGTAACTGGAGTTAGTAACACTGTATTATATAACTGAAATTTGCTGAGTAGAAATGTTCTCACCAAATAAATGTTCTCACCAAAAAGGGGGGCTGGGGCTGGTAAATATATGAGGTGACAGTTGCCTTAATTACCTTGATGGGGGAATCCTTTTACAATATATAAATTACTACATTATACACTTTAAATATTTTACAATTTTGTCAATTATGCCTCAATAAGCTGGAAAAAATTAGGTTAGATCAATCATCATTCATTTCCTGAATCTTCTACTGGCATGGAGTGAGGAACAGCTGTTGAGTAGGTAATCAAAAGCCTGTAAAAGCTCCAACAAATCTGTTGCCAGTCATATAACAGCTGACACGTGTAGCATTCTATACAGTGGTTTAGTACTTTATATTCATGAACTTACCTAGTCCTTACTAGAACTCCATGTGGTAATGTCAATATCATCATTTTGCAAAAAAGGAAACTGAGGAACAAATGTTAAGGGATTTGTCCCAGGCCACACAGCTAATGTGCAGCAGAACTGGGACTTGAGCCTAGCAAGTATAGTTCCAGAGTCCATGCTTTTAACCACTATATCAGGGGTCCACAAACTATGGTCCACAAACTAAATCTGGCCAAGTCTGTTTTTCAATGGCCCATGAGCTAAGAATGATTTTTTTTTTTTACATTTTTAACAGGTTGTAAAAAAAAAAAAAAAAAAGGTGACAAAAAGCACATGTAGCCTGTAAGGTTAAAGTATTTACTATATGGCCTTTTACAGAAAATGTTTGCCAACACTTGCACCATATCATGGTTGCCAATACTAGAAGTAAAGGTAAAGAACGTTACTATACACATAGTTCCCAGGTTACATCTAAGTTGGGTTTGGCACATTCAAACCTACTTAGGTTCCCCAAGTAAACATTTCAGGATATTCAGAGATGGGGTTGTTTTCTTAATGAACACACTTTATGGTGGTAAGTACAATGAGCTTACTATTCATGGCAGCTTTCTTAAATTCAGAGTTGTGCTAAATGTGAAAAATATATACTTGGCCTCTGCAATTCCTGTTACAACTTAAAAATTTTTTCTAAAGAAAAAAATTTCTGTATTTTCTAAATTGTTTCCCTTGGTAATAATTCTCTGAAATACAATAAAATGTTTTATTGAAAGCTTTCAGAAACCATGTGCTTATACAGTTTTAGTCTATTAGTTTACCTGAGGTTCAATGAGATAATACCTTTTTATAAAGGCTTTTTTAAATTTGTTGCAATTATCAAGATTTCTTAACTCTGATTTCTCCAGTTACAGTTTCATTTGTGAATTAGATTTCTAAACATCAAGATGTTGACAGAGGGGTGCCTGGGTGGCTCAGTCGTTAAGCATCTGCCTTCAGCTCAGGTCATGATCCCAGGGTCCTGGGATCGAGCCGCACGTCAGGCTCCCTGCTCAGTGGGGGGCCTGCTTCTCCCTCTCCCACTCCCCCTGCTTGTGTTCCCTCTTCTGCTGTCTTTCTCTGTCAAATAAATAAAATCTTAAAAAAAAAAAAAGATGTTGACAGAGATTTCTACTCTTGTGTGAGTTCACCAACACAGTGAGTGCTGACCTCTCATCAGAAGGCATTCTACATCCTACTCCGTAGAGAACATAGAATACAAAGAATTGCCATGGAGGCCATTATGTGTCATACCAGAAGTGAATTACATTATACTGACAGCCCATTGGCCAGATCTCATGCACATCATCCCACCTGAATGCAAAAAGCTGCAGAGAAATAAAGACTTGCTCTGTGCCCAGTTTGGTAAAAACACTGCCAGGGATGTCCCCTGTGAGAGTTCTATGATGTAAATTGAAGGCTCACTTCTGATAGGACTTCCCACATTCATTACAACCATAGGGTTACCTCCTTGGGTACACCTTCTGTCAGGCCAACAGTTCTGAGTTACAGCAAGACAGTGTTTCACCATCCATCTTTACAGTGTTTCTCTTCTGTGTATTTTCTGATGTGTGGTGAGAGTTGCTTTGTGGCTGAAGGTCTTCCCACATTCATTACATTTATAGGGTTTCTCCCCTGAATGAATCCTCTTATGTTTAGTGAGGGTCGAACTATCATAAAAACATTTTCCACATTCGTTACATTCATAGGGCCTCTCTCCTGTGTGTGTTCTCTGATGTACATTGAGGGATGCCCTCTGACAAAATGTTCTCCTACATTCTTTACATTCAAAGGGCTTCTCCCCTGTATGAATTCTCTGATGTTCAATGAGTTGTGACTTTTGGCAGAATGACTTCCCGCATTTGTTACATTCAAAGGGTTTCTCCCCGGTATGAATTCTCCGATGTTTACTGAGGGTTGACTTCTCAGAAAAGGTTTTCCTACATTCTACACATTCATAAGGTTTCTCCCCTGTATGAGTTCTCTGATGCTTAAGGAGAACTGACTTCCCACAGAAGGTCTTCCTACATTCACTGCATTCATATATCTTCTGCCCTGTGTGAAGTCTTTGATGTTTAATGAGGGTTGACTTCATATGATACATTTTCCCACAGTTGCTACATTCATAGGGCTTCTCCCCTGAGTGTATTCTCTGGTGTACAGTGAGTTTTGACTTTATACTAAAGGACTTGTCACATTTGTTACATTTATAAGGTTTTTCCCCTGTGTGAGAGCTCTGATGCACAGTCAGGTCTGACTTTTGGGAGAAAGATTTTCCACATTCACTACATTTGTAAGGCTTCTCCCCTGTGTGTGTTCTTTGATGTTGATGGAGGGCTGAGTTCTGGTAGAATTTTTTCCCACATTTAGCACATTCATAGGGTCTCTCTCCTGTATGAGTTCTTTGATGTACAGTGAGGGTTGACTTCTGGTAAAAGGATTTCCCACATTCATTACATTTATAGGGTTTTTCTCCTGTGTGTATTCTGTGATGTATTGTGAGGTTTGACTTCCGGAGGAAGGTTTTCCCACATACATCACACTCATGGTATTTCTCACACTCTTCACCCATGTGAATTCTAGGACGTTTCTTCCAAAGGGCTGACTTATCACAGCTTTCCCCACATTCATTAAATTTATACTGATTCTTCCTTGAGTAAATCATCTGACGTAGCATGTGGTTTGACTCACCCCTGAAAGTTTTCTCACATTTATTATAATCACATAATTTCTCTCCTGTCTGAGTTCTCTTATGTGTAAAGAAGAGGGCATTATTGTGGAAGGTTTTAATGCATTCATTATATTCAGGCAGTTGCTCCACAGTGTGAATCTTTTGTTGCTGAATAAAATCCTCATTATGATAGAAGATGCTCTCATTTTTATTAAATTCATTAAACTTCTCTCTAGTATGAGTTTTCTCATGATTAATATCAGGAAGCAATTTCTTGTACCCACTGGCATCATCGGATTTCTTTCCTGAGTAGTTTTTATTATTAGTGGTTAACTCCGACATATCTTCTAAACTGACTCCATCTAGATTATATTTACTGGACATTTTTCTGGAAGGAATAGAGTCTATGTACAGATTAAACGTTTTCCTTAATACATTCTCTTTCTCTGTAATCATCTTGCCATAATGTCTGTCTTGGTTTTCTTTGCTCTCTATTATGCCATCAACTTTCAATTCTTCTAGAAATAAGAAAAACATACCTTATGAATCTGAAACTACTTCTAATAAAATTGGGCTAATACACAAATACCCCTTATACACCCAACTCTTTGGTTTCAGAGACTCTCTTTTAAGATAAAAGTAATACCAAATCAGCATTTTCCATTCCCTCTACTTTTCTGAGGAGCTGGGGGAAAGAGGTGACAACAAACCAACCAATCAAAGCTATTGTGGTGGAAGAGAGGAAAGTAAAATTGGCAATGAACACACACATATTTATTTGGTCCTTCACAAATATATATTTCAAAATGGACATAAGGGGTAAAATAAACAAAGAATAGAAAATAAAGGATTCAGTAAGAGTGGATGAATCACAATGAGTGGAATTCACAGTAAGATGTACTCAATAAAAAAATTATATAAGTAAATGTGACATGGAAAACAGGTAGACAAGATTGTTGTTCCAAAAAACTACCCAAGGAATGAAAGTGTTCAGAGAGAATGAATTAGAATCTAGGTGCTGATTTTGTTAATCCTACCTTTGAAAGACAGCCTGAATTCCATTACTTTGCACACTCTACTACCTCAAACCTAGTCTATGGGGTGTCGTTTTTCCTAACTGGTCTCCTTGCTTCTACTCTCAACTCTCATGGCAATCAGCTTCCTGCACCTCTCTCCTGCTAATACAAATTCCATGAGATCAAGGGATTTATTTCACCACTGCTCTATCTCTTTCACTTAAAACATGACCAGCATGGAGCAAGTGCTCAATTAATACTGGTTAAACTAATTAATTCCTGAAAACAAAAGAAGTCCTTGAAAATGAAGGGAATATGAAGCTGAGAATGCTAGAGGAAGGAGACTAACCAACATAAAATATTAATATGACATGGGAATGAATTTCAAGGTATGAATAAAAAGGAGTAAACTCTTAAAAAGCCAACCGAAAAAAAGAACATATATGTGTGAGAGTGTATCTTTGGTGAATTTAGGTATGCAGGCTAAGCATCCTTAGTCACTTCCAAACAGAGCTTCTTAAAAACACTCCAAAGATGCACATACTTGAAACAACCACCTGGGATCTAACTTCCCCTGGATTACTCATCAGGGTAATACCAGCTTGCAAATTCTTTCTCTAACACCCATGGTGCCTTCTTGCTCTAACTTCAAGATCTCCTCTGGTTTGGTAATGCAATGTCCTGATAATGAAAAATGATAAAGGACACAGGAAAAGCTGCTTGGCTTTAGGAACTCAGAAGAAAAACCAAGGTCCAGCTTCAGGAGCTGCACAGTGAAGGAACCCACTGGAATCTTTCAGTGGGGAAGTGAGAAAACAATATTCCTGGTGTCCAAACCTAAGTATCATTAAACTCTACAAAAGATCCACATGCTTTTGGGCACCTGGGTGGCTCAGTCGTTAAGTGTCTGCCTTCAGCTCAAGTCATGATCCCAGGGTCCTGGGATCGAGCCCCACATGGAGCTCCCTGCTTGGTGGGAAGCCGGCTTTGCCCTCTCCCACTCCCCCTGCTGTGTTCCCTCTCTGTCTCTTTCTCTGTCAAATAAATTAAAAAAAAAAAAAAATCCACATGCTTTGATAACAACAAAACGACATGCTGATGTTACTCAGGAAAAGTTTTCCTTACCCAGTGAGATGAAGATGCTATAGTTCTCCAACATCACATCCCTGTACAAGGTCCTCTGATCAGGGTCCAGCTGACCCCACTCCTCCTGGGTAAAGTTCACAGTCACATCCTCAAATGAAATTGATCCCTGTAACACACATATCTGATCAATCAGAAGTGCTCAAAACTATATGACAGAAATATATTTAGGAAGCAATCCTTCACCATGTTTACTATTGAGTTTATTGGAAAAAGTTTATAGAGGAGACTTACCATAGTCCCTGTTTTGTTTTATATGTAGAGGGAGAAAGAGAAATATAAAATAATAATAATAATAATAAAAAAAAAACACATACAGGGATGCCTGGGTGGCTCAGTCGGTTAAGCGTCTGCCTTCGGCTCAGGTCATGATCCCAGGGTCCTAGGATTGAGTCCCACAGAGGGCTCCCTGCTCGGTGGGGAGCTTGCTTCTCCCTCTGCCTGTCACTCCCCCTGCTTGTGCACTCTCTCTTTCTCTGACAAATAAATAAAATCTTAAAAAAAACACAACACACACAAATACACACAAGCATAAGATATGTTATATACATGAAAGTGTCCTAGTTTCTGTGGATATTAAAATACATAAAAAACAGTGTTTCTACTTTCAGGAAGCTTACAATCTAGTATGGATGCAAACTGGATTAAATAATAGCATAAGATCAAGAGAGAACTGAATTTGGAGCTTTAAAGATATAAAATGCCGTAATCTGGTAATTTTGACATTGTTCATTTAGACAAGACTTCTCCAAAGTATTTGATGACTCACCCTTTTAAGAGAGAAAAACTTTTAAGCATCAAATTGGCACAAATCTGTGGCAATATATAGATATGTCTGAATGTCTCTAGAGGTAGTCCACACTTTGTATGGTCCTGACATGCACAAATTTCAGTTACAATTTATTTAGTTAAGTAACAACAGCCCCCCACAACACTGTCAGATTTCAGTTACTATGGTAACTCTGAGTAATCACATAAAGTATAAGCTTTGCTGCTTGCTCTTCAATCCACAAATCACTACATAAATAACAAACATCATGAATATTATCAACCATGTCATTTTTTTTTCAAAGTCCACCAGTGACTGATCACTGCACATCTGTTACTCAGTCCACACACAAACAACAAAACACATGTTCCCTCCTTGTCTCCTGGCAATATGGCATTTTGCAAAAATAGTTGAACGGTTTGCAAAAGGGAACTGGCCGACAAAGATGAAAGAGCAACAAAGAAATGAAAAGTGATTACATTAGAAGTGAAATTCAAATCAAATATAAATGGGGTTTTAGAAGAAATACCTGACTGTAGGAATGTTGAAACTGCCTCCATTTGAGACACTCTAAATCTACATCCAAAGGATCTTAATGAAGAGGTACTTAGTACTAAATATTATAGTATTTTTTCATTTTTATACACATTTTTAATGTTTTGACAAATATTTTTAAAGATATTTAAAGATCACAGAACTACCACTTTCCCCCATGATTAAGATTGCTTTGCATGGTTTCAGCGTATGTGCCCATTTTTATAGCCCCACACGACAGTGCAAAGTGAGAACTGCCTATGGGTGGCATGCATGTGTCTGCATGCATTCAGTATATAGTATATATAGCCATCATCTAAGCTCAAAGCGGATAGTGCGCTGACTGATTGGCTGAGGAATTAACTGAAGGAGTGTCAGACCACTCTGGGCATTTGTCAGTCTGTATAAACACAGCTGATAGTTTAAGGATAAACCAGATTAAAAAAAAAAATGTTTTACGTAAATGCTTCAGGGGCTCTAGCAATGGCCAAGTCAGCCAGAAAGAAAATGGATACTGGTTTTGCTTTAAGGCAGGTCTTTGATGAGATAGATCATGATGGTGTAAATCCACAGTATGGGAAATGTCCACTTCAAAAATCAATAGTCCCTTAAAGTTGCCTATATACTCCCTGCTGATAACCTGAAAGGAAATTCACCAGGTTATATCTTACCAACAATTCCCTTTATAAATCCTTGAAGTCAGTTCTTTTACTGAGGAGAGAAAACAGATAAAGGAACAGCATTCTGTATTTCTGAATAAACTCACAATAGCTACCTATATGAATCAAACCAAATCTTCACATATAAATGTAGACGGACAATGAAGGTTCACTAGAAATTTAAGAACAGGTAACACAAAAGACATGCACCAGATGAAGTGAAAAAGTGAGTAAGAAGAAAACAAAACTATGTAATTATTATGATTCCAAAAATAGGAAACGACTGTTTTTAAAGACAATGGAGAATAACAGTACTCAAAAGAACGTTACTTCACCTCACACCCATTAGCAAACAAAATAAAAGCATTGGTGAAGCTGTGGAAAAACGAACTCTTGTGCACGTTGGTGGGAATGTAAAATGGTACAGCCACTATGGAAAAGAGTGTGGTGTGTCCTCAAAGAATTAAAAATATAATTACCATGTGTTATTAGTTTGCTAAGGCTCCCATAACAAACTACCACACACTGGATGGCTTAAACAAAAGAAATTTATTTTCTCACAGTTCTGGAGGCTGGAAGTCCAAGATCAAGGTGTTAGCTCACTGACCTCTTACCTGTAGACATTTTAATCCAAATACCTTGGAAATTACAGAGAATAACCAGATAACTTAAATAAAAGATTTTTAAAAATTTATATTAAAAAACAATTCTGGGGCGCCTGGGTGGCTCAGCTGGTTAAGTGTCACCTTCAGCTCAGGTCATGTTCCCTACATCAGGCTCCCTGCTCAGCAGCAAGTCTGCTTCTCTCTCTCCCTCTGTGATCTCTCTCGTTCTCACTCCCTCTCAAGTAAATAAATAAAAATCTTTAAAAAAAATAATTAAAAAAATTAAAAAACAATTCTGATCACTTCTATAAAACATGAGATGTGGGAGGAAGGGACAGTAAAATATGCAAAAGATCAGGTCAGGTCTAGAAAGTAAAAGCTCTTTATGTTGATGGAAAAAATACAAATATAAACCTATGTTAACTGTTTCCAGGAGAAACAAAGGAAAAAAATACTGAATTTTCAAAACACTGGAAGGGAGAAATATAATCGACAGAGAAAAATTAAAGAAAGGAGAGAAGATGGGATAAATAAAAATACAAATAAAGATGGGGGAACTAAAACTAAACATCATCAGTGAGCACAATAATTGTGAATGAGTTAAATACCCAATATAAAAGGAAATCTCATGTCATGCATAAAAACAATTCAGCCAAGTACCGTTTACTAGTCACATGATCATAAAATATGTATATATTTATACATGTATATATGCATTTACTCACACATACACCCTATATATATTAACACATATATATGTATATATACAACACATACATACAACACAACAGAGCACTGTTATCTTCTCATAGGACTGGTAATGGTTAGTTTTATGTGTCAACTTGATAGGCTACAGTATCCAGTTATTTCACAAAACACTTATCTAAGTGTTGCTATGAAGGTATTTTATAGATGTGGTTAATATCTACAATGGGTTGACTTTAAGTAGATTACCCTCAATAATGTGGGTGGGCCTCATCCAAACAGTTGAAGGCCTTTATGAGCAAAAACTAATGTTTCCCCCAAAAGAAGGAATTCTGCCTCAAGACTGCAGCATTATGTCCTGAGTTTCCAGTGTGCTGGTTAGATTTGCCAGGCCCCACAATCACATGCGCCAATTCCATAAAACCAACGTATACATATGTGTATTTATGTGTGTCTATATTATATGCTATCTGCACATACACACACACACACACACACACACACATCCTATTGGTTCTGTTTCTCTGGGGAACACTGATACAGGGCTTACAAAATATTTATTTTTCTTCATCTTCGTTTTTTCTCCATTCTATCTCCTGCCTCTCTCCCAAAAGCCACCAGAAGATGAAAGAGATGGGGGATGGAATCTCCTCTAGAAGCTTAAGCAGGAGCACATCCCTGACAACACCTTGATTTCAGACTTCTAGCCTCCAGAACTGAAAGAATAAATTTCTGTTGTTTTAAGCTACTAAATCTGTGGTAACTTGTTATAGTATCCACAGGAAAGGAATATACCAACTCTTTGCAAAAACCATACAGAAAATCAACAATTTGCTTTGCTCAGTAAGAATATATCTGACCAGCAATAGCTCTCACTTAAACAAGCACAACATTCAGCGTTTGAATTTCAAATTGAGTGGTTGTGCAACCTGTGAAACAGTTAAAAATCCACAGAATATAAAATCAATCAAGAAATAATAAGGTAAGAATTGTAACAGACCAAAGATAATCACATGAGGATAAGCTTTGCTAAAAGGCAACAACAGGAAAAGGACAATACTGTAAAGTAGACAAAAGAAATCATCAACCTGAGGGGCACCTGGGTGGCTCAGTCAGTTAAGTGTCTGACTCTTCGTTTTGGCTCAGGTCATGACCTCAGGGTCGTGAGACAGAGCTCCACGGGGGGCTTCATGCTCAGTGGGAGTCTGCTTGAGATTCTCTCCTCTGCCCCTCCCTTCTCAAATAAATAAATACATCTTTAAAAAAAATCATCAGGGGGCGCCTGGGTGGCTCAGTTGGTTAAGCGGCTGCCTTCGGCTCAGGTCATGGTCCCAGGGTCCTGGGATCGAGCCCCGCATCGGGCTCCCTGCTCGGTGGGGAGCCTGCTTCTCCCTCTCCCTCTGCCTGCCTCTCTGCCTACTTGTTCACTCTCTGTATCTCTCTGCCAAATAAATAAATAAAATCTTTAAAAAAAAAAAATCATCAGCTTGAATCAACTAAGTTATGCTTTGGCCTTCTCCTCCCTGCACCCACTAAAGAATAATCAGAAGTGAAGATGATGGGCAGCATTCATCTCAGACTTGTTAATTCAGATTGTCAACTACCTTATTTTCAGGAAGACAAAGAATTTTTTCAAACTTCAGGCCAGGAAATCTTTGTGTTCTGTGAAGAATTACTTTTATTTTTATGGTCAAGGCAAAGCATTTCCCTTTTGGACAGAGTATCAAAGATAAATTTGCAATAATTATTATTATAAAAATTACTGCTACATAATATAATGTATAATATATATACTAATGGAAAAACAATTATAATTATCTCCACATAATTAACATGCTGACCTTTCCTTGTTTTCGATCTGTTAACTCTATGTATTCCTTGACAGCTTTTATCATTTTTATCTTCATTGTTTTATGCAATGGGAGACAGTGTGAGAAATGAAAAACAGCTCACCTGGGATTTGTTCTTTTTCTCTTCCTTTTGGGAAAGTACAGAGAAGGCTGAATGTACAGCTATGGGAGAAGAAAACAGTAGGTCATGTGAGATTTGGCTGCTATAGACTTTTGAGATTCAGCTCCTAAAACCCCATGCCCACCAGACGGTCAAATGTTACCCTGTAGGAAAAAGTTCTTTGGCCCCTGAGAATTAGCAAGAACCATGTGCAGGGAGAATTCACATGTGTGACTCTGACAGGAACTGTAGAGCCTGGTTGAGCAATTTTTCACTGGGTTTATTTCTTAATGATTTAAAAATTTCATTTTTCTTTTAGAACCAATCCAGTACTAATTTAACAAAGATATCAAAAGACAAATCTTTATTTTTCACTATCAATGTGGTAGGAAAAATACTCAAGATATTTGTTTACCTACATTCCTACTGAGTTGCTTACCCTTAAGAGAGAAATCACTCTGCAGAAAAAGATGAGGTTGCTTTATGGACAGGCCTACTTTAAAAACTGTTTCTAACTAAACTGCGATAGAACCTGGTGGGTGACTTACCTCGTGGATAGTTTTCCGGTCCTGGCACTGCCTCTAACAAACTCGGTGACTCTGGGCAGGCTACTTATACACTCAGAGTCAAGGTTTCTCAGCTCTGAAATTAAGCAGACACAGATGACCCTATTCTATGCCTCTATAAAATCAGGGTAGATGGAGTGGCAGCATACCCCTAGAGGGACATGGAAGAGCAGCTCAAAATCTAGAAAAAGTGGGTGGAGGCTGAAGTCCGGACATGTTTATTAAAGGCTGGAGACAGAATTTCTTCAGTTGTGCCTAGGGATCTCTCCCTGCAGACCATGCAGACATGAAACCTCTAATGAATTTTTTCCACACAGCCTGCCCCTCACCCACCACTAAGTGTCCCACTCACCTATATTTCCTGAAGCTTGGTCCAGACCTTTCATCATGGTGAGGCCCTCTGGATGCGGTGACAGTGAGGCAATGCTCATTCTGAGCACAATAAAGAACTGCTACTGCAGGCTATGCAAACCCAGCACCTGCTCCTTTCTAGCAGTATCCTGCCTCTGCTCTAAAGCTGTGGTTGAGAAGTCTGAGGTCCGAGGAGTGACCTTCAAGGTGAGATTCCTGTTCTTGGGGCTTCCTCCTTCTTACTTCATAAAAGCTGCTTTCTTCCAAGGGAGCTGGAACCTAGGCTTAAAAGACAAAATCATTTACTTAGAAGTTTGTTTCAGGGATCCAAATCTCACAGAACTTATCTGCCTAAACTCTAAGGCCACTGAGGATGCTGAAAGTTGGACAGTGCAGTAAGTTATGCAGTCTGATCCAAGGGTTCTGACACGCCAAGAAATCCCAAAATACATGACCACAAGGTGAGATTCAGTGTTCACACACTTTGGGGTTGTTTCCTTGGGCCCTAAAGAAGGTGCTGTGAGAAATACGATGGTTTTCGACAGGGTTGTCTACCAGAACTGTGAGACCTTGCGTATTTCACTTGAGCCCTCTGAGCCTCAGTCGTCTTGTCTGCCAAGACAGAAAACAGTTACATTAAAGGCCGTTATTAGGATTAAATAAAATTTAGCCAACGAAAAAGAAAAATATCTTCCAAAAACCTTAACAGCTAATATTAACTAAGCTCTGCTCCGAACGTTAAAACTGAAAATTCTATTTTAAAAACGTGTAAAAAATTTTAATCCTCAGAACCCCACGTAGCAAATAATCTTGTTTTACAGATGAAGAAACCTACTCTCACGCATCTCCGTCATCTTGCCAGCAGTAATCAACTTAGACCCGGCTCCACCTGGATCCAGAGCTCAAACCCCTTCCCGCAGCCCCGCCGACGCCGCGGCCCCACCTGGACGCCGGCCCCCACAGGACAGAGGCGCCCGGCCCGGCCGTCCCTCCCCGAGGCCGCCCTCACCCGCCTTCGGCTGGCCAGCTCCCCACCGCCGCCCCCGCGGGCGCTCGCCCATCCCGCCGGGGCTCACCCACCGCCCCTGCTCGCGCAGCGCCAGGGCCCCCGGATCGCTCCAGGACTTCCCCCGCCGGGCGGGGAAACCCGCGGAAAACACCTGGAGACCGAAGTTACACATGCGCACAACAAGCCTCGGGGAACATGGAAGACCCTTTCCCTGAACCTGCGCCGTGTGAGACGAGGAAACGTAGGACTACGTTTCCCATAAGCCCTGGCACCACGCCTCGTCTGAAGAGTTTCCCGTGGAGGACAGAGGTGCTCTCAGGGCTTCTCCCAGGGGCTTGCTGGGCCTGGTTCTTTCTGGCCCGCAGGGCATTGCAAAACGATGCAGTGTGATGCGAGGTTGCTGAAGGAATTATGAAAGAGTAAGCTGTAAAGAACATGTCAGGGACCACTAGGGAACCGTGAATTATATGGTTACAATATAAAGTGGTTCATTTTGGCCTGAGTAGAATAGTAGAATAGGATCTCCTTGCCTCCAAATTCATGTCCATTAAGAGCCTCAGATTGTGACTATTTTTGAATAGGGTCTTTGCAGATGTCATTAGTTAAGTTAAAATGAAGTCATACTGGATTAGGGTGGGCTCTGATGGCTGGTGTCCTTACGAGCAAACAGAGGAAACAGAGGCATGGGAGAATGCCTTGTGAATGTGGAGACAGATTGGAGGGATATGGCTACAAGCCAATTGGTGTCAAAGACTGCCAAAAACCATCAGTTAGGAGAGAAGCATGGAACAGATTCCCTCTTAGAACCTCTAATAGGAAACAACCCTGTTGACACCTTTTTTGAAGCGGGCATCCATCTTGTTAGTTCGGATGAAATAATGAACACTAGGGGTCATGTTGTTCCCAGGCACAGCTGGACCAGCCAGGGAACACACAGATCCAGGACCAAGAGATAGGAATGCTTGTATCATTCAAAGGAACGTGAAGGAAAGCAAACCCACTAGCTTATGCACACACAAGCAGATACAAGCAGCTGATTAGCACTCTCCTAAACACATAATCACCAGGTGTACCTAATGAAATCTCTAACATATATAAAGATATTTTTCAGATTCCAAGCCTCCTGAGATAGAACAGACCTCCGTGGGACCAGATGAAGTGGCACCAGAAGTAAATATCATCTGTTAACATTACTTCCTAGGCCTCCAATCAATGGCATCCACCTTCTCAGGAAACCCCTCCCCCAAATTTTGCCCTTAGAAGGCATCACCTGTAAGTTTGAGACTTTGAGCATTAGCTCCCCATTCTCTTGGGACGCACCATACCAATAAATAGCTTATCTTTCTTCACTGCCGAAGCTCAGTGTCAATCTTTACTGGCTTGTTGTGTATGGGGCAGATGAACACTGGTTTGGTTCCGGTATAATTTCAGACCTGGGAGAGAATACATGCCTGTTGTTTTAAGCCACACAAGTTGTGGTGCTCTGTTAAGGCAGCCCTAGGAAACTAGTACACCATTCAACTGTGGAATTGGCACTCTAGGCACATTTGTCAGGCGTCCCTAGGCTGAATCACTAAGCTTTGATTTTGGTCTCAATACTGGAATATAGACGCACATCCTGTGTCATGGTATATCCAGAGGTCTATGGTCTTATCTGGATGGCTCAGGTCTGATCAGCCTAAACTAACATCTCTTGGTTTCAGTGATGTTCATTGTCAAAGGGTCCTTTTCCACTGGAGTCCACATGGGCGACAACAGGAGTAAGGGATCCTATACAATCTGTTATCACAATGTGTGACCCCCCAGGGGCTTAGGACTTGATCCTGCTGCTAGGTACTGAAGCACCGTGCCATCCTGTTGGCTATTGCTCACGAGTCAGTGAAAATGTAGCAAGATGTATTTTGGGGGAGTGTTTTACTGGACAAGCACCACAGCCTACAACTTGGACCATTGGTGGAATTTTATTTTGCATATAAGGCTTGTAACAGTTTCCTCTGTGGATACACAAGCCATAGTGGCTCAGTGCACTACCAGCCTTTAAATTAGATAATCTCTTCATCATCGAAGTCCAGACCTCTTCAGGGACTTCAGTGTTCCAACACCCCCAAGAAGCATAAGGTGCTGGCACAGACTCCAACCTCTGAGAAAGCCACATCGACAGAGTTAAATGTCCACCTTCATGAAGGTGGGAAGTTTGATGCCTGACTGGTGCTCTAGTGTGCATACTGGTCGGGTCACTGACATTTACAGCTCAAGAGGCTTATTAGGACTGATTGACCCAAGTGCGAGAGCACACCGTAGAGCCTTGTAAATAGTTAAGTACCCCTATCTCTACCAGCTCTTTATCAGGATGTTAATCCATCCCCCCATGGGCTTTACTGATATTACATGGCTGGGCTGGGAGAGCCTCGCTGGGCACTTGTCCCAGTACCTCTGTCCTAACATTCCTTACAATTAAGAAAAGCATCACACATACTTAAAATATCAATTTTTACAATACATTTAGCAGTATCAGTTACAGCCACTTGGGTGTGTGGAATGTCCATTTCACAAAACATGATATGGTTTAGTTTCAAAGGCTGGAAAAGCCAAACATGAAAATGTCAATAGCAGTGAGGCATCACTGACAAACCATCAAAGGTTTAATGTAGTCAACCTATGAGGGTCTTGAGTCCCCTCCCACTCTCCCCCACTCTCCACCAAATGTGGCCTTCCCTCTAGCCACATGACCCCTATCATTGTATTTTGTGAACAATTTGTTTTCAAGTTTTACAGGTCTGTGGACAGAGAATAATTATGCCCCAGAACAGCCTATACCTAGAATCTCACTGATTTCTGATTTAGATGATTTAGAATTTGGGATTGGGGACTTTTTGAATTATTATATTTAGATGAGATTTTGGACTTAGAGTTAAGGCTGGAATAAATTAAGAATTGGGGGGTGTGTTGGGACTTGGTGAATATATTTTGCATAGGAAGGACATGAATTTTGGGGGGTCAGAGGGCAGACTGTTATGGGTTGAACTGTGTTCCTCCAAAAAGATATGTTTAAGAGCTAACACACAGTACCTGTGAATGTGACCTGATTTGGAAACAGGATCTTTGCAGATGTAATCAAGTTAAGAGGAGGTCATACTGGACTAGAGTGGGCCCTAATCCAATGACTGGTGTCCTTATAAGAAGGAAATTTAGACACACACCATGTGATCATGGAGATAGAGACAGGAGTGATGCCTCTACAAGCCAAGGAATGCTAATGACTGTCAGCAACTACCAGAAGCTTGGAAGAGGCAAGGGAGGAGTCTTCCCTAGAGGCTTCAGAGAGTGCAAGGCTGTGCCAAGACCTTGATTTTGGATTTCTAGCCTCCAGAAGAGAGAATAAATTTCTGTGTGTAAGCCACCTAATTTATGGTACTTTGTTATAGAAGCCCAAGAAAACTAATACAAATGGCAAAGGAACTCCAGGGCACACAGCCTGGGGCACCAGACCTGGCGGGTCCTGGCAGACAGACTATCCAGACTCTCTACCTTCCTTTTGAGGGTACCTCCGGGCATTGACTATTCAGGTATGGCACAGCAATTCTCATTCACACAGCAGATGCAGGCCATACTATTCAAGAGTTCCTAAGTAGACTATATTACACCCTTTAGTTCCCAAACACATCCTGTCAAAGAATAATGCCATCTCTGTTGCCAAGAGTACTTAGCAGTAGGCAACTCTCTGCAGCATTCACTGGACATATACTTCATATCATACCCAGGAAGCATTAAAAGATAAAACGTACTATTAAAGGAGAACCTAAAAAGCTAAGTAGACAGCTAATACTCCCAGTGAAGCACACACTTAAACAGAAAGTATGCGCTCTCACTCTGGCAATTTTCCAAATGGATGCCTCCCTACTGGATAAATTATGAGGTTGGGATATGGCGGAAGAAGAGGCACACTAACTGTATGAGACCCAAACCACATAAATAATGCTTCTCGCTCGTAGTTTGCTCTTATCTACCTCTGAGAAACTGGACTGTAGGAACTTATGGTGGTAAAGAAGAGCTGATGGTGGGAGAGTCCAACCTGGTACCTCTTTTACCACCTGGTTATACCTGCTGCATCTGAGAAGCTCTGAATATTGATGGTAACACAGGGAAACGATATGTTCTAGGATGGTACAAGGAAGAAACCACTGCATGATTACATGGTATATCTGGTTGAACAGTATGGGTTGAAAATTATTAAGGATGAGACAAAAAGAGGAGGTAGTTGTTTCAGGGATTGGTTATACTGATCACATGGTCATACAGGTAAAACCCCAGCTGCTGGGGAAGAAACACCTTAGACTCTAGGAGGCCAGGATTGGTGGGAGGGCTATTAAATTCCCTTGGCTCTCATCTGCTGAACACCTGGGCTGGACTGTCCTATCAGACTATCACCACTGCCCTCAACTTAACTACTGGATTCTATTCTACTGGGTGTCCTTCAACTGAGGCCTGAAAATTTTAGAAGTGGATGACCCCCACCCAAGATGACAAAACAAGCTTAATTTTCCATACAAGCATGAGTCCCCTCAGCCTTATATTGTTGCTGATACCCTGTAGTCCCCATATTGCTTAAGGAGAAAAAGAACTCCCTGTATACTTATCCTAGACCATAGATATGGCTCTGAAATTTATTGCTGGATTGGTCACCTTCAGCCTGACTGTGCTGATAAAAACCTAATAACTGTTCCTTTGTACACATCAGAAAGTAGCATCCCTCCTACAAATCTTCCTCACATTATAATCCCAACTTTTAGACAAAGATTTGGATCCTGACCAATGACCCTGAAGAGGTCACTACAACTAAGAATAAACTTTCTAGTGTGAGTGGTGATGAACAATCACACCATCCAGGATTTCCTGCTGGCCAGACAAGACAAAGTCTGTGTGACTGCTTCAGCTGGATTCTCAAACACGGAAAGTAAAAAAATCAATCTCCCACCTAAGAGAGAAGCAGCTCTTCACAGTTAATCTCAATGGTATCTGCAACATATTTACCTGGCTTGGATCTGGATGGGGAACATAGCTACAATCCTCCCTCCAAGTGGGATTGAGCATCCTGCTGATGCTCAGTTGTAATCACGTTCATCTAAGGTTGTCTAAGACAAATAGAAAGGATGGGTACAATTAATTAAGGTTTATGATGGGATATCCTATGCTTCAAAAAAAAAAATCTTAGCTGTTAACATGAAAGGTTGGGGTACAGTTGTAAAAAAAAATGGCTCTGCCACAACACACTAATAAGCTGGTACATCTCTTGAGTCTTGGTGGAACATCCTACAGTTCCTTTTAAAGCAAGGGGAGATAAGCCTGTCTAGGATGGGACAAAAAGAGGAGGTAGTTCAACCAGATATACCATGTAATCATTCAATGGTTTCTTCCTTGTACATTTTGTACCATCCTAGACAGGCAAGGAGCTGCCACGAGACAGTTTTTATGCCTGTCTTATAAGAGACTGCTACAAGGCAATTTCTCATCCATCCGCCTAGTGTCAGATGAGTGTAAGACTTTCCACCTTTCCCTCTTCCCCTTTTCAGAGGCACCTACAGAGGGCTTATTGAAAAGGGGGGGAATGATCTTTCACTTGGGGGCCCGAGATCTGGGTACACCATTTTTCCTCTGATCCTCTGAAGAAGTGCGAAAAGCCTCCAGAGAATAAAAGCCACACAGGTCCCGCTTTCACTGAGCCCAGCCCCCTGACAAGGGGTGGGGCAACACCAGCCAGGCAAAGACACCTGAGAAGCAGCACAGCAGGCCCCTCCCCCAGAAGACAGACTGGAAGAACAGGTGGACTACAACTTAATGGATCCCACAAGACTGTAAAGCTCCAGCACCAGGGGAAAATAGTATACTGAGCTCCAGGTATTTTCTCATGACTCGTTTATCTTTCAGTCTAGAATTTTCCATTTCCTTTTTTTTAGCCTTTTTCCTATTTCAACTAGAATCTTATTTTACCAACTTAGGTTGTTAAGTTGCTTTTTAACTTTTATTTCTTATACCTACATTGTATAGATACATGCTTCATTTTAGTCCTTTTTCACTCTATTCAATTTTACTTTATATATATATATATATATATATATATATATATATATATATATATATAAGTTTTGCTTTCTTTGCAATTTTGTGATGTAGTGTCTTCTAACACACAGACCAAAACTCATTCAGGAACAAGTGGACCACCCTACTTTGTCCACCTTGTGAGATTATAGTCTCTCTTCCCCCCCCTTTTTTTTAACATATAATGTATTATTTGTTCCAGGGGTACAGGTCTGTGATTCATCATTCTTACACAATTCACAGTGCTCACCATAGCATATACCCTCCCCAGTGTCCATCACCCAGCTACCCCATCCCTCCCACCCCCCTTCATTCCAGCAACCCTCAGTTTGTTTCCTGAGATTGAGTCTCTTATGGTCTGTCTCCCTCTCTGGTTTCAACTTGTTTCATTTTCCCTTCCTTACCCTATGATCCTCTGTCTTGTTTCTCAAATTCCTCATATCAGTGAAATCATATGGTAACTGTCTTTCTCTGATTGACTTATTTTGCTTAGCATAGTACCCTCTAGTTCCATCCATGTCATTGCAAATGGCAAGATTTCATTTTTGATAGCTGCATAATATTCCATTGTGTGTGTATATGTGTGTGTGTGTGTGTGTGTATACACACACCACATCTTTATCCATTCATCTGTTGATGGACATCTAGGCTCTTTCCATAGTTTGGCTATTGTGGACATTGCTGCTATAAACATTGGGGTGCACATGCCCCTCCAGATCACTACATTTATATCTTCCCCCCCTTTTTTATTATTTTGTTTGGTTTTGGTTTTGTTTGCTTTTCTGTGGTGGCTTCCAACCACTTTGGATTTTTCTAGGTGTATTTTGCTTCGGTCATGGTTGATATTTTGGACTCTGCTCAGTCGTTCACCCATCCTTCTCTGGGCAAAATGATTAGGAGGAATTCACAACAAAAGAACCAGAGGCAAGGTTCTCTGCCACAGAGGTAATCGATATGGATATAAGATGTCAGAGACAGAATTCAGGATAGCAATTATAAAGTTAATAGCTAGGCTTGAAAAAAGCATAAATGACCAGAATCTCTAAGGGCAGAAATGAGATCTAATCAGGCCAACCTAAAAATGCTATGAATGAGACAGGGGAGGAGACAAGATGGCAGAGGAGTAGGGGACCCCGTTTCAACTGGTCCCCTGAATTTAGCTGGATATCTATCAAACCATTTTGAATACCCACAAAATCAGCCTGAGATGTAAGAATACATATCTGGGTCTCTACAAGCAGAAAAGTGACTGATTTTTGCAAGGTATGACATGCGGTCGTGAACCTGAGGGGAGATATCAGAAGATAACCAGAAGGGGGAGGTAGCCTCCATAAGCTGGCTCCTGGAAAGTGATATAACACTGGACCACAAAATTGGAACCCTTAGAAATCTGCTCTAGTGAGAGCCATCCCTCTCTGAAACGGGCTCTGGAAATGAAAAGGCAGAATTCTAGGTAGGACATTGTGGTCTTGGGATAGAAGGAGCCGCAGAGCTAAAGGGGGTGAAGAACTGGTAGAGTGCCCAAGCAGTGGAGCCAGGAAGGAGGTTATGGTCAGCGAACCCAGGAGGGACTCTCAGCCCAGATCGCCATAAACCATGTGCTGGGCTGGTCGATAAATGGCCTGAAAATCTGGAACCTGGCCCGCAACCAGGCAAAAACTCACAGAGCAGTAGCCCCAGCCCTGAAAGGGTTTAGAGCAGTACCCAGACATGGCCCAGGAGCTTCAGGTGTGTGCACGAGCCCACGGCTGCTTTATGGTTTTAGAATCACAAAGGGTGCCTGCGTGGCTCAGTCATGAAAGCGTCTGCCTTAGGTGCAGGTCATGATCTCAGGGTCTCAGCAGAGAGACTCTGCTTCTCCCTCTTCCTCTGCTGCTCCCCCTGCTGTGCTCTCTCTGTCTGTTTCTCACTGTCAAATAAATAAATAAAATCTTAAAAAAAAAAAAGAATCAAAAAGGGCAGTGGCACTCCTGGGCCCCTGGGACGACCTCTGAGAGAGTTGCTGTGGGTGCACACCATGGGAGGCTGCAGTTTTCAGCGGCACTTGCAGAAGTGAGGACTGTCCTGGAGGGTTTATTAAAGAGGGCAGACTGCAAATTTTCTGCTCTGGGCCAGAGGTTTGGCTGTGGCCATTTTTGCTCTGATCCTCTGAAGAGGTGCAAAAAGTCCCCAAGGAACAGAAGCCACACAGAAGCCTGTTTTCCACTGACGGGCTGGGGCAATTCCACACAGACAGGGTTACTGCAGCAGGCCCCACCCCCAGAAGACAGGCTGGAGGAACAGGTGGACGACAATCCTATGGATCCCATAAGACTGTAAAATCCCAATGCCAGGGGAAAATTGTAAACTGAGCTCCAGGTGTGGCCTCATGACTTGTTTATTTTTCAGATAAAATTCTTTATTTTTTTTATATGCTTTTTGTTTTTTTTTCTTTTTACCTTCTCATTTCAACTAGATGTTTATTATATCAACTTATTTTCCATAGTTGCTTTTTATCTTGTATTTTTTTCAAACCTATATTTTTTTATACCTATATGCTTGCCTTTTTTCATTCTACTCAATTTTACCTTTATATATATACGACAGATGAATGGATAAAGAAGATGTGGTATATATACACAATGGAATATTATGCAGCCATCAAAAGGAATGAGATCTTGCCATTTGCAACGACGTGGATGGAACTGGAGGGTGTTATGCTGAGTGAAATAAGTCAATCAGAGAAAGACATGTATCATATGACCTCACTGATATGAGGAATTCTTAATCTCAGGAAACAAACTGAGGGTTGCTGGAGTGGTGGGGGGTGGGAGGGATGGGGTGGCTGGGTGATAGACATTGGGGAGGGTATGTGCTATGGTGAGCGCTGTGAATTGTGCAAGACTGTTGAATCACAGACCTGTACCTCTGAAACAAATAATGCAATATATGTTAAGAAAAAAAAAAGAAGAAGAAGACAGCAGGAGGGGAAGAATGAAGGGGGAAAATCAGAGGGGAAGACCAACCATGAGAGACGATGGACTCTGAAAAACAAACTGAGGGTTCTAGAGGGGAGGGGGGTGGGGGGTGGGGGGATGGGTTAGCCTGGTGATGGGTATTAAAGAGGGCACGTTCTGTGTGGCGCACTGGGTGTTATGCACAAACAATGAATCATGGAACACTACATCCAAAACTAATGATGTAATGTATGGTGATTAACATAACAATAAAAATTATATATATACGAGTTTTACTTTCCTTGTAATTTTGGGACATATGTCCTCTAACACAGAGACCAAAATACACCCAGGAACAACGGAAACACCTTGCTTTGTCCACACTGAGAGATTATAGCCCCCCTTCTTTAAAACTTTTACATTGTTTAATTTTATTCTTGTGTTACATTTTGGCTTTGTTTTTTCAGTGGTGGCTTCTGACCACTCCAGATTTTGCTAGGGTGCATCTTGCTTGGGTTGTGGTTGATATTTTGGACACTGCTCATTCACTCAACCATCCCCTGACAGAATGACTAGGAGGAGGAACTCTCAACAAAGAAAAGAACCAGAGACAATGTCTTCTGCCACAGAACTAATGGATATGCATATAAGCAAGATGTTAGAGTTAGAATTCAGGATGGCAATCATACAGTCAATAGCAAGGCTTGAAAAAAGCATTAGTGACAATATAGAATCTCTAAGAGCAGAAATGAGATCTAATCAGGCCGAACTAAAAAATGCTATGAATGAGATGCAGTCTAAACTGGATATTCTAACAGCCAGGGTAAATGAGGCAGAAGAGAGAATTAGTGATCTCGAAGATAAGCTGATGGAAAGGAAGGAAGTTGAGGAAAACAGAGATAGGGTGCTAGTAGCACATGAAAAAAGGACTGGAGAGATTAATGATGCCATGAAATGTTCCAATGTCAGAATTATTGGGATCCCCGAGGGGGTGGACAGAGAGAGAGGGCTAAAAAGGTACAGTTGAGCAAATCATAGCTAAGAACGTCCCTAATCTGGGGAAGGAAACAAGCATTCAAGTTCAACAGGCAGAGAGGACC